TTTTTTTCTCATACCCATTCAGTATTGGGTACTTTTGGACATTTTCTTCTCTCATTTCAACTGAATTCTGCCTATTTTCTTTGCCTGTTAACTAGGCTCCGATGACAGGTTTTACACTTTTTGTTCTTTTTTCTTGTGTGAGAAGTTCTTTTCCTTTTAGGAACTCTGGCTTCTCTAGGATCTCTCCTTCATTTGGGGCATACTCTCATGTATCTCCTATAGTCAACTTTATGGACTCTGGGGTTTCTTTCTTGGGGTCCTTTATCCTCTTTGTGAGCCTCTCCTCAATAAATTTTCACGTTCGCTGGGCCAAGCCTGTCCTAGTTTCTACATTCCCTAACCACCTCTCAAACCAAGATATCCCCTTTTTTTATGCTTCTCTCTTGTATTCAGGTCCATTTTTGTGGGGGCAGGTCTTACACATTGTACATTGGACTAGTGTTCACTCCCCATCAATATGCTTGACTTTCTGTATCAGACATGTTTTCATTCCCATTTCTACTGGTAGTTACTTGGTCATGCTCCATTCAATTGTTTCCATGACCTTTCCTATCTCCAACCATCCTTGTGTCTTATGTTCCAGGGCCTTTTTATTTTTGGTCATTAACAATACACTTCTGTGCTATTTTACATCATTTGTTGGGAGCTTCCCTCTTGTTGGTGAGCCACCTCTCTTGGCCAGTCCTTGTTCTGTCGATGGTGGGGTTTACTCTTGATTAGACATTTCATTCTTAGACACTTTGCCACCTTTCTCTACTCTGGGCTTTACTTTCTTACAGTACTCTATTCCTCTTTTTATGACTGTCATTTTTCTTAACCAGGCTTGGTCTTACCTGTTTCTCTATACTTTCTCCATTATTTGTCTGGACCTTGGATTTACACTCTACAATCCTTCTTAGGCCCTCTTGTTGGTGTCTCTTTGACTGCCTTGGCCTTGATGCACTCATTAATCAGACCCTTTTCCTCCCACCATTATCCCCTTATCATATTCTCTTCACTCTCACACATAGAAATTACTGATACATCTCCCATTGAACTGGGCTTTTTACAACTTATCTTCCCATTGTATTTGTCTGTCATCATTGGTGGCAGGTTTTCTGACATTGGTCATTCTACCACTAATTTCCTCCAGGTAATAATTCTGTGCACCACTTTTCTTCTTTTCTTACCAGCTTGTTCATCGAAGGATTGTCTGTCTCAGTCTTTCTTAGTTATTGGGTTGCCATGTGCATGACTTTTCTCCTTTCCCAGTACCAAAATGTGTTTCTTACCCTTTCCTCTTCTTTCTGTTTCATTTCTTTGCTTTCCTCTGTCCTCCTCGTCCTGGTCTCTTGCCTGACTGTGATCTTGTTGGAGTTTTGCTCAATCTCGTGCATGCTTCATTTGCTATATTGCCTTTTTTTACCATATTTCTCTCCTGTCTTGTTCCCTCTTCCTTATTTACTATGTTTACTGTTGTTCCAGAGCCTATTCTCTAGATGATTTTTCCATCTTCTTCCACCACATTACTTCTTTCCTCTCCATTGACGAGACCTTTCTTCCTTGGAGTTAACTACTCGGGGGTAAACCATACTTCTCTCCT